TGCTGTCAAGGGAAGTAAATAAAGGAGGCATCGCCGGAAGGAGATGCGCTGTCAAGGGACAGTTTTTAAAGTCTGTGTTCCTAGAGCAGGTATGTGTCCAGTGAGGAGGAGCTCTACCTCTTCTCTCACTTGCATAAAAGCTATCCTAAAAGATTATAAATTCTAGAATTCACCTCACAAATGCCTTTTAATTGATTTAGGAGGCTATTTTTCATTTTCAAGTGGAAAAAAAAAAGTCCTTTTGAAGCTGGGTACTTGTAAGTTACTGTAAATATTCAATAAGATTACCTTTTGACCTTGTTATGAAAAGAAGTTAATCTTGTCAATTTGCTGTTTTCTTGTTTAACTTGAGGGGTAACTCAAGGGTCACAAGGGTTTATGAAATTGTTTTATAGAAGAAAAAGAATGCCTTCAAAGATTACTGATAACCAGCCCCCAGCTGCCCAGGGACTTATGGGGGGGTATGTGAAAGAAACACAGATTACCCCTTTGTTTCTCCAAAACTCCTCCTGCCACATCCCTTAGCTCTATCAAAGCCCCTGCTGTCTCTTGTTAAGGCAGATTTGAGAGAACCTGTGCTCCTGCCTTCTCGTCTTGGCCAATTCGAATACACCTATCTCCATCTCTAAGCACTGATGTCTCAGTGTTTAGCTTACCGGGAATTGGGCACACAAATTTGAGATTGAGAGGTTCAGTATTATTTTCCCTTATAAAATAAAATCTGCCCCAAGTACACCTTTATCTTCAGTCTTACATTTCAGTTTGTTCTATGGTCTCCTCCTTTATCTGTTACTAGTACTACAAAGTATTTTTGCTCCCTTCCAGGTAATTGTAAGAACTAATTTGCCTTAGACCCTGATGCTTGGTAGCTCCCAAAGGAGGCAGACAGATTACTTTGCATGATCCAAGGGGGAGAACGTAATGCTCAAATGGAAGAAACTGAGCAAAACAATGAAAATACGGACTGAGTATTATAAACAACTCTGAGACACTGTTATTTATGACTTTGTGGGAAAGCTTCTCCTAAGGGAAGTAGTAGAAACTCCAGCACTTACATAGGTTAAAACACAACTGGAAAAGGCACTAAAAAAACATATTAGGGGGATTCATCCTATAAAAGACCCTGGGAAGTACAGTTATGGCCAAAGAGGCCTCATTTCTAATTTTTTTTTTTTTTTAAAGATTTTATTTTTTTCCTTTTTCTCCCCAAAGCCCCCCGGTACATAGTTGTATATTCTTTGTTGTGGGTCCTTCTAGTTGTGGCATGTGGGACGCTGCCTCAGCGTGGTTTGATGAGCAGTGTCATGTCCGCGCCCAGGATTCGAACCAACGAAACACTGGGCCACCTGCAGCGGAGCGCGCAAACTTAACCAGCCCCTCATTTCTAATTTTTTTGATTCTAAAAAATTCATATATTTGCAGAAACTGTACTTTAGAGTTGAAGAAAGGGAGTGGCGTTCCCATGCAAATGGTAAAAACATCTATGTATTTTTAGTCTTAAAAAAGCAAGACAGCTTTAAAAATGAACTTTATGTCAGAAAATCCAAAAGTCATAAGTCATAAAAGGTTAAAGCTAGACAGGACATGGAATTTGTGGTGAAAAAAATACTGTGACATAATCTTCACAATATCACTGCTTAGCACATAGATATACAATCAGTACTTTACCTTACATTTTTCAAATACCCACTATGTGCTAAATATCATATCCTGATAACATATAGAGTTATTTGTGCGATAGGGAAAGGATTCAGGGGAAGCAAGATTCCTAATCGTTTTCCTATTTGACTTGGGGCAGGCCATTTAACTTTAATGATTTCACCTTCTCCAACCACAAAACGGGAAGGATATTTCTTATCATATTTGAATATTGTTATGCATTGAGTGTTTGTGTCCCCTTTCCAAATCATATGTTGAACCAACCCCCCTCCCTAATGTGATGGTATCAGGAGGTGGGCCTTTGGGAGGTAATTAGCATTAGATGAGGTCATAAGGGTGGAGCCCTCATGAATGAGATCAGTGCCCTTAAAAGAGTTGCTACAGAGCTTGTTTCCTATCTCTGCTCTCAGTCATGGGAGAAGTCGGTAGTCTGCAACCCAAAAGGACAGTCACCAGACCTGACCATGCTGGCACCCTGATCTTGGACTTCAGTTTTCAGAACTGAGAAATTTCCATTGTTTATAAGCCACCCAGTCTATGGTATTCTGTTATAGCAGCCCAAACTGCCTAAGACAAATACTAAATGATTCAACATGACTTGTAAAAGTGAACGTACTACATCAAAAGCACAAGGGACAAAAGAAAAAACAGACAAATTGGACTACAATCAAATTAAAAATTTTTGTGCTGCAAATGGTACCATCAAGAAAGTGAACGGACAACCCACAGAATGGGAAAATTATTTGGAAATAATTATTGGCAAATATCTGATAAGGGACTGGTACCTGGAATATAAAAAGAAAACTTACAACTCAACAATAAAAAGACAAGCCGATTAAAAAAGGAACAAAGAATTTGAATAGATATTTGTCCAAAGAAGATACACAAGTGGCTAATAAACACATGAAAAGATAGATACTCAACATTGTTGGGGGCCGGCCCGGTGGTGCAGCGGTTAAGTTCGCACGTTCTGCTTCAGCGGGCTGGGGTTCACCAGCTTGGATCCCGGGTGTGGACATGGCACCGCTTGGCAAGCCATGCTGTGGCAGGCGTCCCACGTATAAAGTAGAGGAAGATGGGTATGGATGTTAGCGCAGAGCCAGTCTTCCTCAGCAAAAAGAGGAGGATTGGCAGCAGTTAGCTCAAGGCTAATCTTCCTCAAAAACAAAAACAAACCATTGTTAAACCCTCAGAGAAATGAAAACACAAAACCACAATGAGGGACCACTTCACATCTACTAGTGTGGCTATAATAAAAAAGACAATAACAAGTGCTGGTGAGGCTGTGGAGAAACTACAATGCTCATACACTGCTGGTGGGATGGAACATGATGTAGCTGCTTTGGAAAACAATTTGCCAGTTGCTCAAAAAGTTAAACATACAACCCAGCCATTCGGCTCCTGGGTATCTACCCAAGAGAAACTAAAACACACATCCACACAAAAACTTACATATGAATGTTTATAGTACCATTATTCATAACAGCCAAATGATGGAAACAACCCAAATATCCACTACCTGTTGAATGGATAAACAAAATGTGGCATATCCATACAGTGGCATATTATTTGGCATTAAAGAAACGGAGTACTGATACAAGCTACAACATGGATAAACCTTGAAAACACGTTAAGTGAAAGCAGCTACACACAAAAAGCCACAGAGGGTAGGATTCCGTTGATGGAATTTAACAATTTAACAATGTCCAGAATAGGCAAATCCATAGAGACATAAAGTAGATTAGTGGTAGCCCAAAGGGAAGGGAGGGGAGAATGGGGAGTGACTGTTAATAGATAGGGGGTTTCTTTTCAGGGTGATGAAACATTCTGGAATTAGTGATGATAACTGAATGACTCTGTGCACTTTAAATGGATGAATTGTATAATATGTGAATTATATGGCAACAAGGATGTTCAAAAAAAGAAGTGAACATATTAACGTCAATGTCACCAGGAGTCCAAATTCTGGCTTACACAGAATTTCTTTCCTGGAGAGCAGATAATATGCAAAGCCAGCAGTGGTCTAATTTTACTCACAAATTCCTGACATATCTAGCTGCCAGGTTCCTATTTTAAGCAAGTACCACCCCCCCCCCCCAAATTAACTTTTACTTCTGGAATGCAGTCTTTAGGATTATGGTTTAGTAAACCATCCAATACAGCATATTCTTTGTACGTGGCAAAATCTGGAATTTCATGATACTGTCACATTGACTGCTCAACTCAGATTTGTGTATTATAAAATACTTGGGTTCTTCAGAGAACAGATTGGTGGTTGCCAGAGGTGATGCCGGGGTGGGTGACGGTGGTCAAAGGGTACAAACTCCCAGTTATAAACAAGTCCTGGGGATGTAATGTAGTTAATAATACAATACTGTATATTTGAAAGTTACTAAGAGAGTAATTGTTAAAAATTCTCATCACAAGAAAAAAAAACCATGGTGATGGATGTTAACTAAACTTATTGTGGTAATCATTTCACAATATATACATATATCAAATCATGTTGTATATCAAAACCTAATACGATGTTATATGTTAATTATATCACAATTTAAAAAATTTTGTATTCTTGTCCAGCTGAGGATGGTTTCTTTTCACTGACTCCAAGAGTCTTCCCTGTATACGTGTACGCACTTCTAAGTTTTCTGGGTCTCTCACCCGTTTATACTTTCAAATTTTACCTTTGGAACACTTTGGAATACACTTACAAAAATAAATCGGAAATTCTCTCTAAAAGGCCAAAGTAAAACGAAGTGAAGTCTACTTGTGTTAGAGTTTTCTTCCAAATGGGCTTCCTTTGCGGAGGTGGAAGCGTGTTGACAGAGGTTTTCCAGAATGTGAGCGGTCCGGCTGTTAGAGAACGCCCAGAAACCAGACGTTTTCCGTTTTCTTTTACTTTGCTTCGGCGGCATCGCGCAGAGTCGAGGCGTTGGAGGGTCGCTAAAAAGCAAGCGCCGGGGAACGACGGGGCGCCGCGGGGCCCGGCGTGCGCGGGCGTCCCCTCCCGGCCGAGCTCCCGCCAGCGGCCTCCACCATGGCCCGCCGCCGCCAGGACCGCCGCGGGAGCCTACCTGGGCCCGGCCCGCAGCGCCCGCCGCGCCCGCCGCGCCCGCCACCCCCGCGCCGTCGCCATGGCACCGCGCCGCCCCGCCCCCCGCGCGCCTCCCTCCCGCCCGCCGCCCCGCTCGCCCCTCCCCCCGCGCGCGCTGCTGCGGGGAGGGGGTGGGGCGGGGGCGGGAGGAGACGCAGGCAAGAGGAAATCGGCGGCGCGACGCACGCGCCCCATTGGCTGTCTCGTCCTGGGGCCAGAAGCCCCGCCTCTCCGGCGGGGGTCACGTGATCCCTTTCAAAGATGGCCGCCCTGTTGTTTTGATGAATAATACTTGGTGGGGCGAGGGGGTGAGACTAGGGGTGGAAGGGTAGGAGGATTTACTCTTCCAGCCGGAGCATCGCGAGTCCCGTCCTCCCCCTCCCCACTGCCCGGGCTCCGGCGTGGAGGCGGGGCGTGGCCGGCCTGCTTTGGGAGGGGAGGGGCTTCCCTCTTCAGAGCTGGGTTCTGCCTGGGCGGCTCTGGGGTCGTCTTCCCTCGGGGCATCCACTCTGCAGTCGAACAGTTCCCGCCAGGGGCACAGGGTAGGACGGAGAGCAGGATCTGCTGGAGGAAGCGCAGCTGCCGCGCTACCGCCACGAAGACACAGCAGGCTCGGGGCACGAGACGAGCTGGCGCCCGAGCTCCCTAGTCTGAGTGACCTGGGAAGCAGAGGGTAGTAAGTGGCGCCTTAAGATAACCCCACAACAGCAGCAGTGGTGGCCAAAGGAGGCTACGCAGGGCACAAGCAGCTGTAAGAGTCTCTGGGGCGACTGGAGTGACCGACGCCAAGGCAGTTCAGTGCCCCTCGTGTTCTTATTTTTTAACCTCTGACTATGCAATTCTGAAACCTCCCCCATTCGGGGGACCAGACAGCCCGATAGACACCTTCCACTCTCCTGTCGCCCTGGTCTCGAGAACAGAAGGATCTCTCCCTAACGCCTTTCACCATTAAGAGGAAAGCAATGGAGGAGCTGAGCGCTGATGAGGTGAGGAGGTGGGGGACACCTTGGGAGATTAGTTGCAACTCTTTGGCGCTTTGGACGAGGATGATATTGCGCCAGTGCTGCCTGGCCTTCGGGCTTGGGGAAGGAATGGAGATGACATTTTCCAAGAATAAAATGAGTCCCTGGGAGGGTCTCCGGTTGTATTTTCCTGTGTTCCCTGGCCGCCTTTCTTCATTCTGAACTCCATTTGCTTCTCGAGTCTTCTTTTAGGGTCTGAAGAAGAGCAGAGCATATTGAGGCATTCATCCTTTTCTTCAGGGCATTGAGCAAGAAGGGCTAGATTTACATCAAGTTCGATGTGTGTGTATGTGCGTGCGCGCGCCGTGCGCGCCTTACTGCAGAGATTTAAAGAATAATTTTGGATGGAATCAGAATGTATGGGTGTTTTTAAAGGAAGTATTTGAAATCCGAAGTACGTGTGGCCATTTCACTGTATAAGTTGATTAAACACACTTTTGTGTTTGAGGGTGGCCTGCGCACAGATTCTTTGATATTTAACAAAATACATACCTTCTCGATAGCTTAGTGAATTCCAGTTCAATTCTAGTAATTTAACAGGCCACTAATGACTTCTGGCATACTTCTCTTTCATTCTGCCTTTTTCTAGTTTTTGTCCCTTTCAGACTTGTGTTGGGCTATAGCAGACGCTGAACAGGAAGCAAATGGAAGCAAATGATTTTGTAAACTCCCTCCACCCCATATCATTTGTGAAAGAAGTCTTACAGATCCCCTTGATGTTTTAAAGATTGTTTAATAAGATTGTCATAAAAGCAGTGGCAATTAGGGTTCAAGGAATTTCCTGTGATTCTACTGGCTTTTCCCTTCCTTTTTACAAATTGGGAGCTTCCCTTTCAGGACCCCTGCTGGCCTCACGCTCTTCAGCCTACCTCCTCATTCCTTCCACGGTTCATAATAAAACTTCCCTGGTGTTAGGAACGTAGTCATCCGTCAGGTTGGTTGAACTATAAAATTTCCATGCTTCAGTTTTAGCTACAGAGTAGTCAATATGTTTACTTTGGGACTAAAATTCTCCAGGAATGGAGCAGGCAAGTGGTAGGTTAAGGGTCAGGTGGAAAAGGAAGCAAGTAATTTTGTTGGTTGTGATACTTGGCTGTTTGGAAAGTCAGGATTGCCCATTCTGTGTTACTGACTTTGTTTTCTTAAATACATCAGGAATGTAATCTTAAATTAGAAGAATATTGAGCAGTTTCTTTCATTCGGGTAGGAACTATCAAGAGATCCCTTCAGAGCCACTTTTTTTAATGTAGTTTTTAAAAGTGTCCCTCACCCCCCCTTTTCTTCTTTAATCTTAGTTCTAATGGGTAATTTCTTTTAAGGCAAAGAGTTTATGTGTTTTAGTAGTCCTTTACTTCCAGAAATTCCTTTTTTTCTTGACGTTCTCTAAATTGTCCGTAGTTTACAGGTTTTTATCTACTTGGGTTTTCACCAAGAAATTGTTTTCAAACCAATAAAGCATGCAGCCCAGTTAAAGATGCTGTATAACCTGAACTGTGGCTCTTCACTTTACCCAGTCCTTGGAGAAGGTGTAATTTTTTGTGGCCATATAAGGAGCAAATGTAATCATTGTGGAGGAGATTAAAAAACATTTTTCACGGTCAACAGAATATTAAATGTGAAAAATTAAATCCACTAAGATAAGATCAATATAAAATTATGTTCAACAAAGTAGTTGGCCTGAACACAAAGGGACAGTTCAATAACTGGTAATTTTACTCTCAGCAGGACCTAGAACAAATAATTTTTTGAGAAAAATCTCCTTAAGGTTTTTTTTTTAAATCCGTTTTCTTTAATTCTGGGATTAGATGAGCAATTCTCAACAGAGACACTTCCAGAGCTTTTGCCTTTGTATTGTTACTGTATTGGTGGAAACTTGTATCACAGATATGGTAGGTGACGTTCATTTGGTTAGAAAGTAATACATTTATTTTACTGAAAATTCAAACGTACACGTCAGGGTGAGAAAAGGCAAGACAAGATCTTTCGATCTAAATTAGGAAATTAGGAAAGACAGGGTTTCATATTTTAACAAAATGAAAATGTATGAGACTGTTAGTCCATGAAAAACAGAGGCTGATATGACCCAACCAATGGCTTTAGAAGATTTTACATTCTGGGCACTTTTTGGTCCCTGTCATAGATCACCTTGAATTCTTGTACTTTTCTGCTCTTGTGCTTTCTGAGCGCTTCTTTCGCTTCCTTGCTCTTTATATTCAGAGAGCACATTACGGTGAGTCCGTTGCTCTGTGGAGCAGATCCATGACTAAATCCATTCTCTTCAGGAACCTGCATTCCAAGGCATCGTTATGTTTTTATATTAGTTATGTTTTTATATTATATTCATCACGTACCCTGCTCATGTTTTTCATATACCAAAATGATGGTGTGAGTAGGGCGTGTATTTTAAACTGTTTTTCAGCTGTGGTGATGAGATTGCATTGAAATGATTTGCCTTTTTTTTTCCTTTTTTCTTTTTTTGGCTAGATCTTCTTTATGACCTAGTTCGTCTTCAAGATGGCTGGCTGGGATTGAGGGTGTGGTCAAGGTTTTAGAAGGGTGTTAAGTCTTCCCAAATGAAGAATGTGTGACCTTGGACTTTTTAGCAATGTTCTCTAACTAGAAAGGGACCCAGATTTATTAGCAGCCTTAGAAGCTTGCTCTGTGCCAACCACTTTAAAACCGTTGTCTCGTTTGATAGAATAGTGTGATCAAGCAGGTCCTTAAATTTTCCATATTTTGTGGGTGAGGCACCTGAGATTTAGGTTAAGTAACGTGTCCATAGTGACCTGGCTTAGAAGTGGCAGAATTGGAATTGAAACCCAGGGTTCCTGATCTAAAAGCTCTTTTTACTACACCTTGCTACTTAACAACTGGCTGTAAATTCACCACAGCGTCTATATAAATATTCTACTAACATGCTTGATCTGCAGAGTTTTTTTGTAGCAGTGTTGTTTTTCATGAATGCACTCATGATGCGAATCAAGTTTATAGTCTTTTTGGTACTAACGCTCATCACGCCCCTTCAAAATTGTTAGTCAACAAACATTTTTTAAAAAGATGCTGTGTATCCCCAGCAATGGTTCAGGTAGGTTAGGAGAAAGACAGTCCTTTTTCTTTTCTTTTCTTTTCCTTCCTTTTTTTTGCTGAGGAAGGTCTTCCCTGAGCCGGCATCTGCGGCAGTCTTCCTCTGTGTTGTATGTGGGTCACTGCCACAGCATGGCCACTGACGGATGGTGTAGGTCTGTACCCCCTGACAGTCCTTTTTCTTAAAGAAATTATAATTTAACTGAGAGAGAAGGGTTGAGAGTCCCACAATTACCATACAGGGTGCTAAGTGCTATTGTGGACGTATGCACAAGACATTAAGAAAAACAAGAAGATGGGGCGGGCTTGGTGGCATAGTGGTTAAGTTTGTGTGCTCTGCTTCGGTGGCCTTGGGTTTGCAGGTTCACATCCCTGGCACGGACCTACACACCGCTCATCAAGCCACACTATGGCAGCATCCCACATAAAATAAAGGAAGATTGGCACAGATGTTAGCTCAGCGACAGTCTTCCTCAAGCAAAAAGAGGAAGATTGGCAACAGATGTTAGCTCAGGACCAATCTTCCTCACAAAAAAAGAGAAAAGAAAAAAGAAAAACAAGAAGGGACCCCTGGTGGGGCAGTGTCTTAGTGAAGACTTTCGAGAGAAAGTGATGCTTATGCTGAGTTGCCAGGCGAAGGGCTCTTGGAACTGTCTGTGAGACTGAGAGCTCAGCAACCAGCTAGAAGTAGTGGGACTGGAGGCATGATTTTGCCTGGGGGAGTGGCTGCAGGTTGGCAGGCAGCAGATCTTGGAGGGTTTTCAGAAATGTTTAGGAGTTTGAACTTCCTCAATAGGACTGTGAGAGGCCTTTGAGGGACTTTAAGGGATTAGAAGGATTACTGGTGAGGGTGGAGAAGATGGATTGGAAGACGTGGCTGCAGGCCGGGAGACAGATTAGGAGGTGGGTTGTTGCTATCTAGGAGCAAGGCAGTGGAGTCCAAAGTAAGGCTTTGGCAGTGGGAATGGAGGAGGGCAGACACCAGAAATATCGAGGGTCTCAGTTAACCCACTTCTAATGATGAGTTTGATGTGAAGGAGGTGGAGGCAGGGGAAGAGGAGAGAAAAAGATGACGCCTTGCTTTCTAGCTTGGGAGAAGGATGGGTTGGGGGAGGGATAAGTAATTCCAGAGAAGGAGCAGATTTTGGAGGGAGCAGATGAATTCGTTTGGATCATTGAAAGATGAGCCAACGTGGCGACCCCATCCCTGGCCTTTCTACTCTAACGTCTCCATCTCTTTGACCTTTTCTTTCTTTGTGACAGGCCTCAGAACCTAAGCTCACTTTTTTCCCAGTAGATATTTGCTCCCACTCACTTTATAATCAGGACTTTCCTCAAGCCTGGTAGGAGGGTGGGGTGTAGCCTCCCAGACCCCTTCTCCACTCCTTTTGTTCAATTTTAACCGACAGGCAGAGAATGATAATGATAATGACGTCAGCCGACATTTATTGAGCTCTTATTATGTGTTAAGTGCTTATCTTGCTCAGCAAGGTTGGTATTATTATCCTCATTTTACAGATATGGAAATTGAGGGTAATGGAAATTAGGTAACTTGCTGAAAGACACAACTAGGAAGTGGTAGAACCTGGATTCTAATCCAGAGTTCTTAATCCCTTTACTAAACTACCTCCAAAACAAATAACCTGAGCAAGTCGTGATGTTTACAGCATTTTTATTGTCCCCTTTGAGATGGAAACTAGAAGCCCTAGTTAGTGCTAAGAGTGGAGCTCATCAAATAGTCCTCATCTTGTGGGGAAGAAGACAGAAAGAGTCCTGACGAGGGGCCTTGGGTCTTCAGGCCTTCGCTTGGCGCATTTTCTCCCAAGGTACTTGTCGTGTGTCTAGGTGGAGCTGTCTTCCTGTACGCAGCTCATTCAGAC